GTCCTGCAGTGCTGTCAGTGAGAGCTGTGTCTCTCCTCCAGTGGATGGAGACTCTGCTGTGGTCCTGCAGTGCTGTCAGTGAGAGCTGCGTCATGTGGAGCATTAATCTGGACACAGCTGGGAGTACATGACTGGATGGAAAGTGTACACAGTGGTGTCAAGAACTGTAACAGTGACAGAACTCAACTGGATGAGCTAGATGAGCAGAATCCAAACAGATCTAATGGGTCAAGTGGCCTCTGCAGCCTTTGTCATGTTCTCAACACAATTGCTTGTTCATAATTCGTGCAGGGGGGGTAAATAATTTTTTTTTGGGAACACAAATATTTTACAAATAGCAGGTGTGCGAGTGCTATTAAGCAGCAAAAGCTCCGGTGCCTGTGCATTAGGCATGCTGGGTGCAGATGGAGGTGAAGAAAACCAGGAGTGGAGTGGGCTTTGGGGATGGGAATGGATGTCTCACCTCCTAGCGTGAACAGCAGGCCAAAGGCAAACAGCTGGGTTGTCAGCATCTGTGAAGAGAGAGCACAGGCGAGACACTGAGACAGAGGCTTTGTGCAGGGAGCTGATCAGGGGCACACACACAGCACACGGTGCAGATCTCGGGGGGAGACGCATGTGGCCCTGGGAGCCCCAGGAGGCTGCACGTGGGGTGGATGTCCCTCAATTGGCTGTCACAGCCCCCCCCCTCCCTACTGCTCTGGGTTCCAAGAGCTCCCCAGTCTGGATAGCTGAGAACTACATAGAAAGGGCTGAAGAGTGAGTCTCCTCCGTCCCTCTTTCCAACTCCCCTCCCCTCTACACCGTCTCTCTCAACCCCCTGGTCCCCCGAGCTGCAGCCCAGCCCGAACAGGAGAACACCTTCTCTCTCTCACACTCTGTGGCAGCGTTGCTCCAGTCCACACTAGCCAGCTTCTAGACGAGAGCCATAAGCTCCGATGTGAAATCAGACAGGGGCAGGGACGAGCTGGGCACAGATCCTTCTCGCACTGCGAGGATCCAGCTTTCAGCTGCATTCTGGGAAAAATGAGCCTTTGTTCGACCCTGACCATCAGCTGTAACTGTAATACAAACTTCTGTAGCACGACACGTGTGAGCTGAGAACGTCCTGTACCGGCCACCTCCTGGGGAACAGGACAGGAGCCTCGCTACTATTAGTAGTAATAATAATAATAATAATAATAATAATAATAATAATAATAATAATAATAATAATTCTTTATTGGCGATCTGAGATGGTGATGCGAATTGTTCCTGCTTTGGAAACACTAATTAATTGTTCCTGTCAATAAAGATCTTTGAATTTGAACAGAAGCTTTATCCCCCCTCCCTTCTCTCAGTCCTTTTCTGAGAAAAAAAAGAAATGAGAAGGCTCTCATACTCAAATTCATGGAACTTTATTGTTCTGCCCAGGGAATTACAGCATTGCCAAAGCAGAAACATTAACAGAGCATGCACATCACAACCACATCATTGGCGATTGAAGTACTTCACATAAAAGATTGGTGAGAGACAGGCTCGCGCTCTGCTCCGCGGGCTGTGACAGGAGATCAGACACAGTGCTGCAGCTCTGGTGACTGTGCTCCCTCATCCTGTCAGAGGTAGGCCTGTCTCTCTTCCCCCCAGCACGCTCTTTCAACTTCCTGTTGTCAAGGGAGGACGACTTCTGCAAGCCTGCCCTTACCTCATCAACATCCGCTCACCCGCTTGGCCAGAAACTCCCAGGGCCAGGGGCTGTATCTGTGCCCTTCGTCGTCGTTATGTGCTCTCCTGTCACCTTTCGCCTCTCCGAGCTGCTTCATGTGCCCAAGACCTTAGTTTATCAGTGAAGGGCCAGCAGCCCTTGTCAACAGCTGCCGCGTTTAAACGTGCTGTTATCTGTGACTAGTGCAAGGAAACACAGGCATAGCACAGGGATACTACTGGAAAAACCTGTCAGCAGAATGGTCAGTCTTCATCATGGAGAAGATTTGCTTAAAAATAAACTTACTACCAGCAGAATGGTCAGTGGACAGCAGAACTGTAAAACAGCTGAAAACCATTTAATCTGGCCTGGTGCTGCCATGAAAATATTAATCTTTAAACTACAAAAGTCATCAGTCCAGCTGTAGTACACCATGAGTACGTTTATTTTTAAGCAAATCTTCTATATAATGAAGGTGAACATTTCCTTTCACTGAAGTAGCAGGATTGGCCAAATACCACCGTCTCTTCAAATCAACCTGCTCTCCAAATCTCCTTCTCACAAGACAATTCTAATGGACACGGAATTCATGAGCTTCTATAAAACCAACATGATAAAAACAAGCACTTCTTTAGAAAAAAAGAGCTACAACCTGGCTTTGTGATGAGTAGACTTAATAGCATGAAATCTAGTTTTCAAATGTTAACAAGACGAAGCATAATGCTAATTTAATACCAAATGAGTATAAACTTTACTTCCAAAACAGAGCTGGAAAATTGGTTCCCTCCCCAATTAATCACAATAATTAATTGATTTTTATTAAACATTAATGAATGACTGCTTATAATTTTGCTGGAGCTGTACACACATAAACCTCATTTTTGTTACTCAAGACTGTATTGAAAAATATTTCAAAGATTCAACACAAAACCTTTCACCATTACAGAGCATACAAACACATTTCTGTTTTTTCTGAATCACCCCCTGGTTTGCAGGAAAATTGAATCTGCTCTTTGCTGCAGATTTGCATCAAAATTTGCAAGATTCTAACAGTGCATGTTTTTACACTGCTTACACCACAGTTTCTGTCACTACGGGGAAAAGCACCTTTTAGCCCAAATAAAATTGTAGGTAAGATTTACAGCTACAGGGAGTCAGGTCAGTGTTCGCGTGTCAGATGGCTCATCACAGGGATCTCCAAGGAGAATTTTGGGGGTATTTAGCACCTGATCTGTGGGTGTTGTGTGAAACCCATCATGTCTCCAGTTTTAACTGCAGGTGGTTGTCAGCCATGTGGCCGTGCCCACACACTCACACGCCCACAGATCTGGCAGGATTATCCCCCGGATTGAATCAATCCTAAATCCCCAGTCCACTTCGGCGTTCCTGGAGTTCCACTGCGCACCAATTCTGCCCCGACCTCCCTCCCCACAGCACAGAGCCTGGTAACCGAAGCAGGGAGAGCTCATGAAGACCGTACGTTTGAATGTACGTCTTCAGGCCTATCCCAGACCCCCCTCAGAGGATTGTTTTACGAGGGTTTTGGGCAACAATTTTCGCCCGACTGTCAGCAGGCCACAGCTCCTGCGCCTCCCCCTGCAGAGCTGCGATGGGGAGGGGGTGAGGGTTTGACTCCTGCCTCATGCACGTGCTGAGCACCCCCGCCGGCGCCGCCTCTCTCCCACTGCTCCGGGCCCTCACCGCCAGCACGGCGCAAGGGGGGGCACATGTGCCTGTGGCGAGAGACCCGCTGCTCCTAATCTACCGTTTCGAAATTCACAAGCCCCTTATCTCCCTCCCTCGGCCTGCCCCCCCCCCAGCATCTGCCCTGCAGGAGCCCCAACAGTCAGGGGGGACCCAGCCTTACCGTGGTGCCCATCAGTCCAGATGAGGTTCGGCACGCAAAGCTCTTCCCTCCTCTCAGACAGACTAACGGAAAAAAACCTCATCAACCTGAGTCACTGGTGACTTCCTCTCTCCGCCTTCAGCACAGCCCTCCCCGGACGCTGCTTATCTCCGCACGCTGCTGCTCTCTCTCAGCCCACAAGAGCACCCCCCGCCCCCCGGCCCCAGAGCGGCGCAGTCGCCGGGTTCCCACCTGCAGCGCTGCCACGCCCTGCCCTGCAGATATCAGCCTCCGCTGACGCAACAGTTAATCCTGCAGTGCTGGTGCCAGCTCCCTTTTCTGCTCGGTGTTGTGCCTCCAGTTTCATTTTCCTCCTTTTCTTAACTTATCAAGACAGCAAGCTGCTCTTACTTTTAAATAGCACCTACAGTGGTGCATCGTCCCTCGGCACTTCACGATAAAAGAAAATGACTTAAATTCAGTTAAAAGCTGGGGGACAGAAGGCAGTGTTCACACAGGATCTGATCGTGCCGACTAACTTGTAAGTTCAGATATGGGCTGGGAGATCACTCCACACTCCTGGAGTGACAGAACAGAAAGCACAGTTTCCCAGCATCTCCGAGGACTTCCGGGGACTCACCGGGAATTTCTACCATCTGCCAGGGAGTCCCAGTGATTGGAGCCTTGTACTGGGAATCAGTCCAGAGTCAAACCACATGCTAGTGTGTAGGGAGTTAACCGTTCACTGGTGTCACCAGGAAACACGACTATCTGACAGGTGAGCCACACCATTAATTAATTCCTAAATCCCCAATGTGTCCCAGGTCACCCAGTGTCCCGGTACCCTTTTTATATCAGTGCACCCCCCAAATGATCCCACACATTCAGTCCATACCTGTTCTGCCTTCGAGCAGTGCGGTCCTGGAGGAAGGGCACAGGGCTTAGTGTGACCTCTGGGCCTTATTCTGAAATTCACAGGGAGCCAGGACGGGGAGCCAGGACAGGGGTTATCTTCTCATGCATATACAGTATCACAAGAACAGATGGAGCCCAAGGCGGGTCAGTAACTCAATGAAGCTGTGACAGAGCCCAGGACTTGAACCGGGAACCTCCAGATAACAAGCTTTAACCGATGAACCACCAGAAATGCGGCCTGCCATGAACGACGGTAGTTTCCTGGGCGAAGCGGGCGGACCCTGCAGGGAGGTGGTGTAATGGGGGCAGCAGCAGGAGGAAGTTCGGGCAGTGAGGTCAGTGGGACCCGTGCATCATGAAGCCCAGCCCAGCTCCTCTTCACCGCCAGCAGGTCGCCTCTGCATCTCCTGCCCTGACTTCTTCCAGGTGATGCCCAGCGCTGCTCTGCCTTGCCTTCCCCACAAGGCCAGAGCCTGAGAGAAAGTGCTTCTCTCTGTCAGGTCAACAAAATCATGGCGGGACCTGCACCAGGCATGCTGGGAAACTATACTGACGCACCCCCAGGCTTCCATACGAGTCGACCAGGGACGGCACTGTGGAGACCGCCTGCACGGTCCCGATAGGACTGACAGGAAACTGACTCATTCATTGGGCAAGTCGAAGACAGTTTGAATTTCAGAGGAAATGACACAGTGGCTGCAGCTGTTTGTGGAAATATTATACCCAGAGAGTAAAAGAAACTGAATCTCATTTTTTTTCAGGGTGTTTTAATTATAGATTTTTAAATTTAAGGTATAACATGGAAAACAGGGCAGGTTTCATGTAGGTGTGTCCTTCTTTGGAATTAATAGGCTGCGTTTTCAAAAAAAGGGAAGAGTCTGGCATAGTGTTTGGGGGGGGATTGTTGATTAGTGACCCCCCCCCACACCACTCTCTGCTCAAACCAGCTCCCCTCGGAGTTCAAAGGGCAACTCAGCAGGGCGGTACTCTGTCACCGTGTCGTACGTTCTGATTGGCTCCTCCAGTTCGGCCAGCCCCCTCCCTCGTCTCTGATAGGCCCTCTGGTAAAAGAACAGGCAGCAGACAATCACATAGGCAGCAGTGCCGTCTGATCTTGTCAGAAGACCAGCAAGCCAAGTTAGTGAAGAAAGTGAAAAGTAAGCACTGGTGATGGACCAGAGGTGGGTGGCCTTCCCACTAGTCCACAACCTCCACATCAATGCTGCAGTATTTAAAGCTGTGGGTTAATTTCGATTTAATTATCTGTCTCCTCCTGTGATCTGCTGGGCAGTGGAGCCACTGGTGCAGAATGGCCGCTGTCTGTATACTTATGAAATTATTTGCGAAGAAGAGTACCATATAAATGCCAGGAGTCTCTATGATCACAGCTGAAACTCACCTTGGCGTCACTGTTCTGTGGCCCCAGGGGTCGGAATCTCTCCCCATGGCTCGGGTAATACAGCGAGGGTACCCCAACTTCTTCATACAGACCCCAGTCCCTCACATCCTCATAATCATGGACAACCAGGCCTGGCCGGTACCCCAGGTCTGCTGGGCAAGAAACAAAACAGTTTAAAAATCAGATTCCATTTGAGGATCTCATCCTCATTCCCTCAGGAATGTCCTGCAACAACATGGCAGAGCAGTTTCAGACACCCACCACTCTTTGTGTAAAGAAGTGCTTTCCATGTCTTGGGCAGGCGTATGTGGGAGAAGAGGCTTTGTTTCAGTTAAAGAACCTGCACAGATGCTGTCACCGGTACTGGTGTGAGAGACCTCTAAGGAAATCCAGGTCGCTGTATAAACTGGTTGGAAGGTCCAGTAGGGGACACACAACAGGACAAATGGGACACTCTCTTACCCAGGATGCCGTGCGTATCCTCACTGCGCCCCTCGGAGCTCTCCGGGTGCGAGTACAGGGAGGGGCGGAAGTCACTGGCCGGGTAGTACCGGTGGGCGCTGTCCTGTGACCCGCACACAGCAGGCGGAGACAGAGACAGGGGCGACAGCGCCGGTGTGAGAAAACGGAGGAGACGCTGGCCTTGTCTCACTCTCTCTCACACCCTCCCTCCTTCTTCCTCTCGCCTGCTCCCTCCCTCTTTCAGACTGTGTCAGAGAGTCACTGCTGCTGGTCTTTCAGCCCTTCGCCACCAGGCTCCCTCCCAGAGGACTGGTTCACGACCCCCTACTCCCCTCAGAGCGCAGGTACAGATTTCCCCATTTAAGAACAAACAGGTTGAAGTTTTCACTTATTCCACCAGCTATAACCTTGCTCCACAGACAATGTCCTTGTGTGTGGTGTACGTGCGTAATGATCGTTTGTGTGCTTTCTGTATATTGTCTGCTCCTGTAAAACAAATCACCCTTAGGGATAATAAAGACTCCCTCTCTCTCCATTTCCTCTCTCCCTCGTTCCCTTGCCCTCTCTCTCACCCCGTCGTAGCTCTCGTAGAGGCTGCTGCCCGGCTCCGAGCCGCTGTCCAGCAGCAGCGTCCTGCGGGCGGCGCTGTTGATCTGCTCTCCTCCCTCGTAGCGGTTGGGCTCAGTCAGGGTCGACCTGCGCCGGGGGGAGAGGGTGGGGGGCAGTGAGAGCTCCTAATTTCACACACCAGCATCTGCAGAAATTGCTACTCCTCCCGCGTTGTGCATAAATGTCACCTCACACATAGAACTTTGGGATTTAAAACTATAATAATTTGCAGCTATAAAAAATATAACACCAGAAATGGAAGCCATCAGCCTTGTTTAATGGCCTGAGTTATTGTTGCTGCAATTGCTAGATATGAAAACAGGAAAAGGAAAAGACCTCTTCTTTCAAATTAGTTTTTTTTTCCATCTTAGACATACCTTAATTTACAAGTGCAATGCAGGACAGAGAAAGCCAGTCATGTTTTCTTGAAAAATGCACACTTCTGACCCCTTTGGCTCTTTTATCACTGTGTAGTGCTCGCACTCAAACAGAGTCTCCATCCACTGGAGGAGAGACACAGCTCTCACTGACAGCACTGCAGGACCACAGCAGCCTCCACTGGAGGACACACCCATGTTGAATATCATTCCATTTCACCTGATCTGAACGTGTCTAAACGTGTGCCATTGCTTGGTGAATCCCAGCTCCAGACCAGATGCAACTGAGCTCTAGTGTGCATTTGCTTGCTGTCCTGTTTCATTAATCAGCATCACAGAGACTTCTAGATAGGACCGATAGCCTAAGCCAGCCAGGGTTTCTTTATTGGACACAGTGAAGCACTTTGCTCCCAGTCAATTACCACAGGAGCAATTAGGGCCTGTAAAAACGATTGAACAAAAGAATAAGTGAGGTGCTTCCTACACCTGATGAAAAATGCATGTCTTTTAGACCCTGTAACTTTATCACTTCGACAGACTGTATTAAAGCTTATTTTCACCTTATGGTAATACATGGAGGAAGAATAATTAAGCCACGAAGTTTTACTACTTAACAGTAAAGTTGAATTTGCTATTATGGCAGGAACATGCCTCCGGCCTGTCAGTTCTTCATTAGTTTCCTTTGATTCAATTAGACAAGGCTAATTGCAGGGAGGTGGTGGGGGGTAGGAGATATTGCAGACAAAATGAGACGCAGCTGCATTATCCTGCCACCAGTGGGAGCTGTTCTTCTCATTGATCAGAACTCTGTGACTTACAAGAGCAAAAGAATACAGGAGGCCATTTAGCCTGTTTGGTTGTTAGCAGCTTATTGATCTGCGGACTTCATCCAACCACTGGAGGCTAGTAATTAAACTGAGGATCTTATCCAGCTGTTCTTTTTAAAGATGCCAGGGTATGACCTTCATCCACTGGTTCCACACTCCCACCACCCTTGGTGTAAAGGAGTGCCCCCTTCAGCTTTCTCTGTTTGCATAGTTTTCACGTGTGCCTGCTGGTGTGTGTTTCAGGAACCTGCTGGGTTGAGACTAAAGAGATCCAGTCCCTTCGGCCTGCCAGTGCAGCAGTCTGTGACTTCTCCGAGTTAACGGTCAAGCTCTCTCTGCCTGCCGATGTGAGCTCCCATTCACTGTAGGCAAGGCGCGTCCTGCAGACTCTTCTAAGTCTTACGACCTGGAACCAATTTAATATGAACAGGTGATTTGTTATCCTAAGCAATTGAGACTGGGGATGAAGGTTTGAAATCCTGGCTGGCACAGACCACTGTTCTGCTGCTCTGTCAGTGACCCCTTTGTTAAAGGGGTGAAACCAGCACTGCAGTTTTGACCCCGGGTAATCTGCCTTCCTGTCAAAGGGACCACGAACTCCAGGACAGCTCGGTGCTGCCCCCTGCTGGCGACTTGTCCACATCCACACACCCAGAGACAGCTGCTTCGTTCTGTACTCACCCTTCGCCATCACTCCTCTTCCCTTCTGTACCTGCTGGGGGGGACAGGGGGGATAAAAGTGGAAGATCGGCCCGGAGAAAGGCCGAGGGAAAGAAAAGAGGAAAGAGAAAGAGAATGAAGGAACACAGAAGACAGGGGACATCGCTGATCTTTACAACGTTTGAACAAAATGCAACTAAAAGATCTGTCAGCTTAGAGATGCCTCTTGTAAAAGCAGACTGCATCCCACTCACAGAGGACAACACATAAAAGTTAACAACTCAGTAAACCGGCATCAGTGCAAGTGCCCAGCAGCCCCTTGGATTGAATACATACACCTGGCTCAGACGTCAACAGATGACCCTCAATTTTAAAAGATTTACAGTAGGGAGGGGCCGGGGGCAACAGTTTTGATTGTGTTACTATTTCAGTACTGACCTATAGAGACAGCTCCACTTTAACATGGTGGGCTTCATAAGAAAAGCAGACCACCTCTGTGTGCCAGAAAACGGACGACATGACACCTGCTATCACACCACGCAGCTTGGCGGTCTCCGGTTCGAGAGGTGACTGGTGCAGGTGACCGTACCTGCTTGTCTCCGCCTGTTTTGCCATTTTCGGATCAGACAGCCCGCGAGGGCAGAGTTCAGCACCAGCAGCACACCACCCACCACCGCCAAGGTCACGACAAGGTAGAGTGGTTGCCCGGGGGCTTCTGGGAAACAGGAGGAATGAAATACTGAGTTGTGTACTGTATATAGAAAGGGGTGTGGTACAGTTGCATTAGGACAGGTCTCTATTTTGAAACACAAACACATTGGTGGTGCAGTGTCGGTCTCACCTGTTGGCTGCGGATCCCTTGTCGGTGTTGTGGTAACTTCTGTTCTGGGCCTTTCTGCTGAGCGGAGGGGGCAGGAGACAGGGGTGGCAGAATGGTCTCATTAGTAAAGAGCAACAGATCTACCCTGTCTGTTTCTTCAGTAAACAGCCCTCAGTTCTTTAACACTCTGTTGCTTTTACCAGGCATTATCAGGAAGCTGTGATGCCAGGTTGCTCAGGAAGGGTAAAGTGGATAAACCACAGACCTATCTATGGACACCTTGTGCTGACACAGAGCATCAGTGTTCATTACTTTAATTTCGGTCATATTGTGCTTGGTTGTAAATCAGCTGGCTCAAAGACCTGGAAAACAGTGGGATCCCTTACGATCAGGACTGATTGGGATGCCCTTTCCTTCGACTTGGGGAAACAGGTCAATGGGGCCTTCAATGAACCCCACATTTCACTGGGGGGGAACGGGAATGGAGCCTCACACTGACCTTTAGTAGTGACATTGAGCAGTGCCCCGCTGTCCGCGTACAGGCTCTCTCCCATGGCGTTGATGGCGTTGACGGAGAAGTTGTAGGGCGTACTGGAGCGCAGGCCGGTGACAGTGAAGGAGGTGGCACGCGGCGGGAAGACATCGATGTACAGGAAGCTGGTCGCCCCTTCCCAGCGATACCTGCGGCCAGGACAGGTGAGGAGAGCATGGCGTGACTCTCGCCACCACAGCGCGAGACGTGCCTGCAGCTGACGCGCTGCTGCTGGAATTTCAGATCAGATTGCAGTGGATTGTCAGCGCTGGATGAACATCCGAGTTAAACTTTTCGAATTCAAGATGATTCCCATTCTTGGGAGTTTTTGCCTTTGATCTGCAGTATGTACCATACTCACGATCTTCAGCTCAAGGCCTCGGGAGCCAGACACCTACTCACCTGACCCGGAATTTCTGCTCCAGGCCCCCATCAAAGCCTTCGGTCCACTGCAGGGTGACGGAATTGTGGGTCACGCTGACAACCTTAAACCCCGAGGGCGGGTCGGGGCGGTCTGGAGAGGGGAGAGGGAGTAGATATCACCCCGAGTTCTGCTTGCTTAGGCAGAGGAGAGGTGGGAGGAAGACTAGGGCTGAAGGCACTGGATCAGGGAGAGGGGAGCACTGCTCTGGGCTCTGGAGGGATAAGGGTTCGATACAGTAAAATGCCTCCTGCGAACTTGTGCTGCTCAGACGCTTAGAGGTTCTTTAACCGAACGTCTCTTTACAAGAGATTTAGCTGCATGTAGTTTAGACCCCAATACCCTTTAATTAGGGACCAGGACTTCACAGTCCTACAGACACACTGACCGGCCCTCCAGGACCAGGACTGGACAGCCCTGCAGACACACTGACTGACCCTCTGGTCCAGGACAGGACACCAGAACTTAAACAGCGGTCACACTGCGATACTGCTTCCAACTGTTTCTTATCATCAGTAACTCAAAATCTGTACAGAAACTGTAGAGGGGACATGGAATTTTTATATGCGAGACATTTTCTCTCTGCATGGAGATGATTCCAGGGCTGAAATGTATCATTTATTATTGCCAGATTAATTATGAATTCTTGTGCGGCTGTAAAAAAGGAGAGTGCGCCAGGATATTGGACTGTATTTCACAGTTTTATGGTGAACATGAAAAGGCAGGGCTTCTTCCTGCTGTGGTGGGGGAGTTGCTCTCTCACCACGGTTCTGCAGAGGGGGAGGTGTGAATCTCCCAGCCCCTCACTGCTCTCTGCTTCCTGCCCTTCTGTGAGCGGAGCTGGAGCTGCTCCCCTCGTCTTAAATGGAACCTCTTCATTTGCTCTGGCTCTGACAGCCTCTAAATCCCACTTAAGAGAATCCTGACTTCTATCTCCTCCACTGCCTGGGTTAGATAAATATGTATCCAAGACCTTCCTGCAGGTCTGGTTACCGTTCTTCCTCTGCTGTGTGCTTTACTCATTATTTCACTGTTAGAAACTCCCTGTACAGCCCTGAGTTTTTCCTTATTAACAGGTGACGTTTTGCAGTCGCCTCTCTCTCCCCCAGTATCCCCCTCTCACTGGTGCTGACGAGCTGGATGTCCAGCTGGTCCAGGCCCAGGGCGTTGCGGGCGCTGCAGGTGAAGATGGCGTAGTCCAGCGCGGCGCTCACGTTGACGACGGTCACCGTGCTGGTGTGGACGGCTCTGTCCCAGACCGTCTGCTCCGAGTACCTGAGGGCGAGGATGGGGCTCAATGCACAGGCTCCGGGTGCGAGCTGTTAGGCTGTTATTAGGTTTTTCTCTTGAGCCGGAGTGGGTCCCCCGTGACTACGTTACTCTTTCAGGGTGTGGGGGACCCATGTGGGCAAGGGGGTATCGCCTTTGCCTTTTGGTCACTGTCGAGAAGAGGCAGGCTCTAGGGACAGCACCCCTACCCTGATTGCAGAATGGGTCCCCATCAATCACTGCACTGGGCCCCAGCACACTTGCACCCCCTGATCCCCGAGGAGGGTGGAGGGATAGGTGGGGAGGGAGAGAGGGAGACAGGGAGAGATATGCCCCTTGTCAGGCTCAGTCATCAGACCTGGGGTTGTTGAAGTCCAGGGGCACTCCGTTTTTGGCCCAGCTGAACTGCACTCGCGGGACGCCCTCTGCCTGGCACACCACCTCCGCCGTGCTGCTGCCATCGCCCCGGCTGGCCACCTTGCTCCACTGCGCCCCCTTCTGGATCTCCGGTTTAACTGCGGGCAGGAGCACAGGAAAGCTCACACTGAGGCAGAGTATGGGAGAGGATGAAGGCTTGGTTTTGGGGTCACAAGGAATCAGAGAAGCAACTTGAGTTTAGAAGATTCACAACCTAAAGAAGGTAAAATCCTGATTAAAATGTTAGAGGACAAAGTTAATTTTAAAAAACAACCTACTCTTGGGCTTTTCTCTTTAAGGTGAAAAATGTCCCATTTTAGAATGTAATGAACAGGACAACACTCTTAAAAAAAACATACAATTTTAGTTCTAGATTCCTGTAAAAAGAAGCTGCAGAAGTCTGAGTCCGAGTTAGTTGTACTCACAGCGCACCACAAGTCGGACCTCCGCACTGGCAGGGGGCCCTATACCGTTGTCCACTGAGCACTGGTAGCTCCCGCTGTCTGACTTCTTCGCCCCGGGGATGATCAGCCAGCCTGTTGCGTCCTCAGCCTTCTGCATTTCCGCGGTGAGCTCCCTCTCATCTTCCCCCTGCAGCACAGGGAAAAACAGGAGCACGCAAGTCCGCAAGAGCCACAGTCCACAGACGTGCTGTTGGGTTAATGGGCACCTGGGAAAACTGGCCCTCCTGTGAGTGTGTTTCCTGTAATGGACTGGCATCCCACCCAGGGTGTGTGAGTGTGTGTGTCTGCGTGTGTCCTGTGATGGACTGGTGTCCTGTCCAGGGTGTCCCCTGCCTTGTGCCCGTTGCTTTCTGCGATAGGCTCCAGCTCCTTCATGACACTGAGCTAGAAGAAGTGGTTAGAAGATGGACGGGTGAAATTTTAAATTCTGCCGTTTCTGAAAGTGTCCAGGTGACCAGGCTGGTTTAAAGCCAGCAAAGAGTCCTGGTCCATGCAGCAGTCCCAGTATGATGTGAGAGTCGCGGGCGTTGATGCCTGGAGCGAGGAGCACACTCACTAGCCACTTCCAGGAGAACATGCCAGGAGTGACGGGGTTGGCGTCCGCGGTACAGGTCATCTCCGCAGTCCCGCCCAGGTCCACCTCTGTGGGGTCCAGCAGGCTCCTGACTGCAGGCGCATCTGTGTGCCGAAAGAGGAGACTACTGGGCGCTTGTGCAAAGATGGTGAGAGGAGTCACAGCTGATCAACGGATCTGTTGAGCTGCAGCAAACTGTCTCAGGTCTTCCCAATGCCCAGCTGTCTCCCCCTGGGGACAACCATTTTGGATCCTGCAATGATGACTGCAAGAACCAAAATGGCAGCCCATTTTCACTTTGGTGCAGTGGGCATTTCTTAAATTCAGGTACCCTGTCCATCAGACCAGTCATAATTATTTTACAGCTGTCAGAAGCCGGACAGATTTTTTTATACTATAGCATTAGCAAAAGATCTAATTGAGCTAATTAATAATCCAAATAAGAATCCATTTAAGTAGATGGGAGCAGGGATGAAGATGGGTTTGAGTGGGAGGCCACTGCACAGTCTTTAGGATGGACAGACGATTCAGAATGGACAGTACTGGACAGTACTCACACTGAACGTCCAGAGTGACCTGGGTGTAGTTCTCCCCTTCAGCGTTCCTGCAGATGACCCGGTACTGCCCTGCATCAGCCCGCGTCACATTCCAGATCTCAAGGGTACCCCCTTCCTTCAGGTGGTACCTATAGGATCCTTCTGCATCCAAGGAAAAAACACGGAGATGGGCTGTAGACACGACAGATCCCGTCATCAACCTCCGGATTGAGTGTATTGCTTAAAGAACTAAACAGGTCAGATGTGCTTGTAAAACAGCACAGAGACAACCAATTCATCAAAACGCAAGAAAATTTAAAACTGAGCACATCTTGCAGTACACTTTCTGAATCTGTTTTGCTCTAGCCCGGCGCTGTCAATGTGCTGTACAGAAAACCATGAGATGTGCTGCTGAATAATGCTGTCCACATCTGCAATGGCAGTGCAACTTCTGATTGGTCGGTTTTGTCCCCACCTTTCCCCAGGTGCTCTCCCCGATAGGTCCAGTTACAGGAGATGGGCTCGGGATTGGCTGACACTCGTAGAGGGAGGAGAGCCACCCCCTTCTCCACAGCTTGGACCACTTTAGGCTGGTCTGGGGCAAACTCTGGGGGGTCTGTGACACACAGACACATGGAAACATCAACTGGATAGGTGGATGAATGGGCAGATGGAGGATTGGGTGGCTGGATGGATAGAGATGTTAGATAGAGGATGGACTGACAGATGGATAGGTGATGGCTAGGCGGACAGATGATTGGATAGATGGCTTGAGGATGGGAAGGTGGATTGATGGCTGGATGGATAATGTTGGGTGAATGAGTAGAACATGTGTGGATGGGTAGACAGCTGAGGTTGGATGAATAAATGGAGGAAGAGAGGAAGGGTGGAGGGATGGATGATTGGGTGGAAGGATGGGTGAATGGACTGATAGAGGCTGGGTGGAGGGATGGATGATTGGGTGGAAGGATGGGTGAATGGACTGATAGAGGCTGGGTGGAGGGATG